GGTTACATTAGGTTGGGATTGAAATTAGAAAAAATCTATTCGATCCATAAAAGTATTAGATTTCTCCAACGCTTTTTGTGCCTTCAAGAGTTGTTTGTGAAGACCGTCCTCCTCATGGTTTTTGTATTGGTTTCGTTTCTTCTGACCATGTCAAGCTTTTGCTTATACTTTGTCGTCTACGAGATCCACCAACGATATTCTATTGATCATATTTTCGGCTAGATTCGTCTTTCACACGATGCCACCATATTAATCAAAGAGGAAGAGGATAGTGTTGGAGATTGTGAGGTAACAATGCAACAATCTACAGTACCAACTTCCTTCTCTTTGAACAATTTGGTCGAATTGTGTGGAAGGCGAATCTGGCCGGAAATCTGATCAACAAGCGTATCACTGGTCGTAGAGCTTCTCAACTACAGTAATTTCGTGTTGATACAAGAAACACTGAAACACCTCTTTTTCGGGAAAAAACCGACACAATTTCTAAATGGGACTTTTGCAGCAGATACAGGCAACTAATAGACTGCATTAGTACATTCACACGCCGCTAATAAGCCATATATATATGCACTGGAAATTTAGAACCATCTTCTTAGGTGATGCAAGCACCTAGATCAGCGGCTAAACACCACAATACCATCCGAAGCTAACAAAAAACATACTAGCATGAGAGTACCTGATATCAGATCTATTACACTTCTATAACTTAATCCAGAATAAACTAAACGTCTTCACCGCCTTTTAACTCCTCTGGTTTGCTCTCTTCGGGGACCAAGGGATCTGATGGAACAGAAGAACTTGCTTCAATAGCAGCTGAGACTGAGTTTCCTGACTCTGGTGGTGCCTCTGAATCCAAGTCAGCTGATTCGCATTTCTTACCATCTTCTCTATTAATGTCAGATTCTGAGATGGAGCAGTTTGTTTCCAGTTCATCCAAATCACCAACTGTTGGATCTTCCATTGGGGAGGTTTCTTTTTTCTCATCCTCGGTACTTAATGCTGATGACAAATTCTCTTGTTGATCCTTGGATTCTTCTTTTTCCCCCAAGACACTGATTGCCAAATCATCGCCAGAAGAATGGTCACTTGCATTACCAATTTTCTCCATCTCTGTGGGCTCCTCAGTCTCAACTACATTTGTGGAAAAATCCTCAGGCTGCACCGAAACAGTTGAACCGCTGGCTTCACCATCAACCCTGTTTTTCTCGTCCGATGGGTTCTCTTTCTTTTCGCCCTCAGAAATTAATGCTGATGACAAATTTTCTCGTTGACCCTTGGATTCTTCTTTTTCCCCCAAGACACCAATTGCTACATCATCTTCAGAATGGTCACTTGCATCACCTTCTTTCCCCATCTGTGTGGGCTCCTCAGTGTTGACTAGATTCCTGGACAAATCCTCTGGCTGCACCGAAACGGTTGTACCACTGGCTTCACCAAGCATGTCTCTTTCGTCCGATGGGTTCTCCTCCTTTTCTACCTCAGAAATTATTGTCGAAGACAAATGCTCTCGTTGACCCTCTGATTCTTTTATTTCCCCCACCACATTATCTTCAGAATGGTCACTTGCATTACCAACTTTCCCCATCTCTGCAGGTTCCTCGGTATCAACTAGATTACTTGATAAATCCTGTGTCTCAACCGAAACAGTTGTAATGCTGGCTTCACCATCAGGCCTGTTTCTCTCGTCCAATGAGTTCTCGGCCTTTTCTCCTTCAGATATTAATGTTGAAGACAAATGCTCTTGTTGACCCTTTGATTCTTCTTTTTCCTCCAAGACACCTATGGTGATATTATCTTCAGAATGGTCACTTGCATTACCTTCTTTCCCCATCTGTGTGGGCTCCTCAGTTTCAACTAGATTTCTGGACAAATCCTCTAGCGGAACCGAAACAGTTGTACGGCTGGCTTCACCATCAGGCATGTTTCTCTCGTCCAATGGGTTCTCGGCTTTCTCTCCCTCCATCACTGGAAGAAACGAAGGGGACTCTATACCTTCAAATAAATTGAAAATTGTGTTTACTGTTAAAAATACATTTAGATTTAGATTTCTTTGTTGCCCTTAAGGCCATCATGCTACAATAGGCATCACTGAATGAATGAATGAACATGCATACCTCCCACTTGCTCTGCAGAGGAAAGTAATTGAACTTGAGGTTCTGACAAACACCCACTTGAGACATCAGCAATCTCACATCCGGCAACTTCAACTTGTTCTTCATCGTCAATGTTCTTTCGCTCAACTGTAAGAGGCGATGAGGGCTGGACATCAGCCGGAGTACCTGCGTCCATATCAGCACTTGTCCCACAGGGCTGGATATCAGCTGGAGTATCTACGTCCACAGCAGCACTTGTCTCACAGGGCTGGACATCAGCTGGAGTATCTACGTCCATAGCAGCGCTTGTCTCACTGTTACATGTATAATCGTTTCCAGCTTCAAGATCTTTGCATTCCTCTAGCTGCATAATATTCCCAGTTTTCTGTTCTTCAGCTGAAATAGAGGGAGAGGCCTGGACATCGGTGTTGCAAATATGATCGACTTTACCAGCTTCAGGATCTTTGGGTTCTTCCGGTTCAATGATTACATCATCAGCATCCTTTTGCTCATCCAAACTGGTGGACAAGAGCTGGAGATTAGCTGATTTATTTACCGGCATAGTAGAGGCTATTTCTACTCCAGATCCTTCGCACCTTTTAGGCTGTGACAAGTTATCGACATTCTCATCCTTAGACTGGATAGAAGATGAAGGTTGAGGCGTCTTCCCTGAAATGCTGCAACCGGAGATATCCATTTCATCACAGTTTTCATCTTCTGATTTTTCTGGCACATCGTCTGGCAAGATACTCCGAGACCGATTTTCCTCAGACTGGAAATCCACGATGTTCTTTGCTGCTTCTTGAGGTGATGCAGGCTCATCCCCGTGTTCTTGCAAATTTTCAGGCACTGGACCAACCAACGGGATAGTTTCTCTTTTACCAGCAACTTCAAAAGCAAGATTTGTATCCTGCTGTTCTTTCGGTAGAGGTTCTGCAGTTGTCGACCCAGATGCAATAGACTCAGATAGGCCACATATTGATGAAGATGGTATTTCTTCTGCCAGGACTATATTCATATGATGTGTATCACCATGACCGTTATGTGAGGGTTCTCCTTGCGACAACTGTACTTCGACAAGCTTAATTGCAGTGCAACTTTCCAAAGAAGAATCTGCTTCAACACCAGGAATCTTGACAAGGTCATTCTCGGCATCCTCAGCAACCATAGACAACTCAGTGCCGCCATCTTTGTTTGCAACCAATCCAATCGGATCACCAGACACAGGGCGAGGAATATCTGAGACCAAATTTTCCTCATTGCTTGGTTTATATGAAATTTTGAGACCAGAAGAAGCCTCTTCTATTACAATCTGGTCTGCAAGAGCTCCCTCAGTTGAAATATCAGGTGGAGAAGTCAAAGCATGGCCTGCCAGAATTATTTCAGCTTTTCCAGAAGCAACAGCATCACTAGAGCCAGAAGGAATTAGAGGCACGTTTGTTTCTCTGGCAGCATCACCCCACTGAGACGTAACACCTACTGAATCCTTTTTCTCAGGATCAACGACACACTTCGGATCATCAGAATTAGATGTCACACACTCTTTTTCTAGAACTTTTTCAGGTACGGAAACAATCATCTCCAAAGTGCCTTTAGTCACAGAATCATTCAACTTTTCAGGTACCTCTGTACTACTTCCAGAAAACTTGCTGCCATCATAAACCTCAGCTGAAAAAATAGGAGTTATGCGACAATCGGAATCAACACCATGAGAATCATGAATTTCAGGAGACTCAGCTTTCTTTGGAGAACTCTGTTCATTGGACGCTGAAGGCATTTTGGAATCTTCAACATCATCAGCAGAACAAACTGGAACAGTTTCCAAGGGCTCCTTTGATTTCAGTCCAAATATATTTTCAGTCATTTTTAATGCTCCTGGAGAAACTGAAGGTGATAAAGATGGTTCTGCTTGTATGTTAGAAGCCTCAGCGAAATCAGCATTAGAAGCTGGAAAACTTTGCGCATAAACATGATCCCGAGACTCTAGTGGTTGACGTGCTTCGTTTATCTCAAGCAAATCCTTGTCCACAGGGCTTTTTGTATCAGTGGCTTGAGCTGAAGTACCATCAGACTGATCAACAAGAGCCTCCACTCCGTCTGAAGGTTTTACAGTTTCATCGACTATCAAAAGAGACTCAGAAACTTTCGTTTCTTCTGAAACATTGGAAACGGATGTTGCCATTCCCGAGTTTGGATTGGCTGACATTGCTACTTTCAGGTTCGTCTCAACCAGCTCTCCGCCCACAGGAGATTTAGAGCCAACGAGCATAGTATCTTGAATAACAAGTGCCTCCAATCCAGGTGAAGGTTTTACAGTTTCATCGACCATCATAGAATCAAAAACTTTATTTTCTTCTGAAATATTGGAAACCGATGGGGCTACTGTCTGGCTCGTCTCAACCAGCTCTCCACCTACAGGATTTTTTGAGCCAACAAGCATAGTATCCTGGTTAACAAGAGTCTCCACTCCAGGCGAAGGTTTTACAGTTTCATCGACCATCAAAGAAGACTCAGAAACTTTATTTTCTACTGAAACATTGGAAACAGATGTCGCTATTCCCAAGCTTGGATCAGCTGATTTTGCTACTTTTAGATTCGTCTCAACCAACTTTCCACCCACAGGATCTTTTGAGCTACTGTGCATAGTATCTTGATTAGCAAGAGCCTCCAATCTGGGTGAAGGTTTTTCAATTTCATCAATCATCAACGAAGACTCAGAGACTTTATTTTCTTCTAAAACATTGGAAACAGATGTTGCTACTCCCACGTTTGGATCATCTGATGTTGCTACTTTCAGGTTTGTCTCAACCAATTCTCCACCCACGGGAATTTTTGATCCTGCGAGTATCATATCTTGAGGTGTTATATCATCAGACTGAGAAGCAGAAGCCTCAAAGTTAGGAGAAGGTTTGATAATCTCATCAATCATCACTGAAGACCCAGACTTTTGCTTTTCGACTGAAATATTGGAAATAAATGTTGCTACTCCCAAGTTTTGGTTGGTAGGTTGGATCACATTCTCTGCCTTGCTGGTCTTTACTGTGTGCGAATCCATCCCACCTGGGGATTGCGTGTCAGTCTCATTTGTTCCCGTTGTTTCAGAAGGCTCCCCAACTTTATGTTTTATCACGGAAGTCTCCGAAAATATCTCCTTCATGACACGAGCAACATCAGTCACATCAGCAGTTTGTTTCCTTCCAGAACCACCACTACCTGATGTTTCTTTTCTTCTTTCCTGGCTGAAATGGGGTTGTTCTTGGGCAACAGCATCACATTTATTTCCAACTGATATTATTTTGGAGCCTGATGAATCACCAGCCTTAAAATCAATTTGTGGTGTTGATCTTGTACTCCGTGCAGAAGAGCCATCGACAGCAGGTAAAGCTTGTGCATGTCTTCTTCCTCGGCGTCTAGGAGTATCTCCCCTGCTTGGCATCTTGCGACCTTGCTTCTTAACAGGCATGGTCGCAGGGGGAGAAAGAACACTGGCGCCTTGAGCTGCAAAAACGACAGGATGACAGTTAAATTTGAGAATCCAAAGCAGGTTAAGTAAGTTTTGATGCTTCAAATTTTTGTACCTTCAACAGTGGAACAAACAGCTAGGGCACTCGATGGCTGATTAGCATCTGAAGGTGCAGTTGTCACAGTAGCCGAAGCTGTAGAATTTTGACCCTCTGGAATTTTATTTCTTCCAGTCTCAACCGAGGCTATCGAAGGACTTTCCGGTACAGAAGAGATGGCTCTCTGATTTTGACCTGAAAGACGACCTGCCAAAAACATTGATGCTGTTAAGATTCTAGTGACCAATATTGCCTGACGCATGTATGTGAAATATATTAAGTGATATGCTAGTTGCCGAGTTATATACCTAAAGAAATAGAGCTGGTAGAGCTTGGTAAGTGAACTGGCTGTTTTTCAACCCCTGAACCCTGAATATTTCTCACATCTGGAATATGAGGCTTGTTCTTAACAGCAGCTGTTTCTTTTCCCAAGGAATCCTCCAACATATTTAGTGACTGAACATCTGATCCAGAACCAAAACCAGGTGGTGCATCAAGATCTGCTGCTATGTTTGGCTTTTTTGTAATGCACTGCGAACTATTTTCCTGTAAAGACACAGCAGGAGAGGGCTGCACTGCAGTAGTATTGGAATGCACGTAAGGTGCTGGCTCAAGGTTTGAAGTACTTCCTTCAATAGGTTTAGAGACTTTTGCATTGATCTCAGCCGCCGAGACAGGAACATTTAATAAAGTAGGCGCCACGGGGTCACCAGAAAGAGATGCGGCAGTATCAGTTCTCAGAGTACTCAGAGGATTGGTCTTTGAATCAATACCTACGGAAACGTCAGTACCATGCAACATACTTTCCACTCTCCTTCCCCTTCCTGTACCACGTCCCCTGCCTCTTCCCCTGCCCCGACCTCTTGTTGGCATTGGAGCAGAATTAGAGGGTGGAAGTGATTGAAAACCCGGAGGAACAGATAAATCAGGCGAAGTTAGGGGACGAGACGAACTAGAATGAGAAGCTGTTTCATCCTTTCCTCCAGGGATAGCAACACCAGAATGAGAAGCTGTTTCATCCTTTCCTCCAGGGATAGCAACACCAGAATCAATAATTGCCAATGATCTAGCATCTCCTGTTGCATGTTTCCTGCCTGGAACTGATACAGATAATTGATTTGAAGTTTTATCAGCTCTTTTTGGCCTACCACGGCCCCGTTTTACAGGTTCTGTTACTTCTTTTAGTGGCTTTTGTAATGTCTGCGGAGGTTCCACAGATTGTGAAGTCAGAGCCACTGCCGGAGATGTGGGAAGCATTGTGTCACCAGTGTTTCTAGCCAGAATATCTGATTTATCATTTGCCAAGCTCGTTTCACCAGTGTTTAAAGCCAGAATATTTGATGTATCATCTGACAAGCTCTTTTCACCAGTGTTTCCAGCCAGAATATTTGATGTATCATTTGCCATGCTCTTTTCATTTCCTTCTCCCTTAACTCTGGGAGAATCGGTTGACTCAGTCTGGCACATCTTGTCAAACTCCTCCTCTGTCAATTGCTCTTCATAAGATCGAACCTTATGAAGTTGCAAATTTACCAATTTGAAAGTAATAAGCGAAGGTGCTACAAGCAGGATCATAATAAGCTAAACAATTGAATGTTAAAAAAAAATTACTCAACAAACCTCTCTTGCTCGCTTGCCTCTTCCATAATGCTGAGTATCAAAGCTCGCTTGCCCCTTCCGCTTCATGCCAACATTTGATTCTACTGCAACCATCGGGACATTATTTACTTTCATTGCTTCATATAGCAGTTTTAAGTCATCCTCAGTAACAAGGCGAGAGGGGATAGGTGGTATAGGTGCAAAACTTTTTGACCCTGGACCCTGCGCCAAGCTCTTCCATGTTTCCTGAAGGACATAGAAGTTCAGATATACATCATAAAACCTTAATAAAATAAACCACCAATAAAGTTATTAAGAACAAACATACCATCTCATCTTCGTTTCTTTGTTTGTCGATGGATTCAAAGATATCGATCTCAGACTCCCTAGAAAGACAACAGAAATGTCAGATCTACAAGAAAATTCACACAACAAAAAATCAGGAGATGCATGCAAATGTAAAAATAGTTTCATCTAAGAGTAAAGACAGAAATCCAAACTATCATTCAACAGAGAACACATGGAAGTACCTAGTAGATAGCATGTGAATAGAATGAATTTGTATAGAAAACGATAGCAGATAACTACTTCACAGTTGCAAAGTAAAACTACTTTGTATAAACATGTTTGCAGTAATCATAATGCACAATTTAAAGAACCAAAGTGTCATAATAATTTAGAAATGATGTGTTGTATGCATAGGCTGTCGTAAAATCAAAATATATGCAGAAGTAAAAGAATCTGAAAGCAAACGATGAAACAGCAGCCACCTGCGGGCTATAAGATCATTTAAGGCATCATCGCCCAACACTGGAGCAGCCTCCTCTTTCTTTGACTCACGCAACAGGGACTCCAAATATTCCTTACGGTCTTCAGCGCTGTTACAAAATACAAAGTTGATTACATTAGGAAATCGGTAGCTAGTACTTTTGAAGCAGAAAAGGGATGTCTCTCGATTAACCTTGTGTTATTGTCGAAGAAGCCAGCAGTTATACTCTGGTTAGCGACTCCAAGTTTATGCTCAGCTGAAGCTCTGACTTGCTCCTCGACAGTATTGACCTTATTTACAAGGAAGAACAAAAGACAACCAGTTCAGATGGTTCAATTGAAGAATGTCCCAAAACTACATATTAAGCATGACAAACAACAATACATTTAGGATCACTGCACTACATTTAGAAGCCACAGCGATGAAATTAAAGGGAAAAAATAAAGCAATTTCTTTTCAGAAATAAGAATTCCGTGCAGATAAGAAGAAACTAACCGTTTCAAAACGAAGAACTAGAACATCTCTTTTCTGGCCAATCCTGTGAGCCCTTGCTTGAGCTTGTAGATCAACCTGAAATATATAATGAATGCTCCTCAATGTCCGAACTGATGTCTACAGCATTCCACTATAACTTGACATAAGGAACTGTTATGCTTAACCTGAGGATTCCAGTCGGTGTCAAATATTATCACCGTATCAGCCGCTTGAAGATTAACTCCTACTCCACCAGCCCGTATACTGAATTCCCATGAAAGATTCAGCAATCACATCTAAACACAAATCAGTATTAAAATAAATCATTATGTATATTATCATGCCTCACCTCAAAAGAAATATGAAAAATGGTGAATCAGACTTGTTGAAACCGTCTATAAGAGCACCGCGGTCACCCCCAGATGTGTGCCCATCTAACCTAAGGTATTTGTATCCCTTGAAGGTGAGGTAATCCTCCATAACATCAAGAAGCCTAGTCATTGTGGAAAAGAAGAGAACCTGCGGGGATTCATGCAAAAAAAGTTACAACCACTTAAGCATCTGCAATCAAATTAGGGTTAATATGCAGCAGAGTTTCAAATAGTGGCATTACTGTGCATTTTCACAACTAACAGAATGTGGTATAGTTGAAGCAACAAAATAAAGGAAAAATGCTAGCTGAATTATACCGACCTCACTCCTTTTTTTTTTGGTCGAAAACCGACCTCACTCCTAAAACTAGTAATGATTCATGCAAACGAAATAAATACAAATTATGTTCTTCTTGTGATATACATACTACAATCCTTATAGAGGCGAGGGCATTGCAAGGTACTTTTGGACATTGCTTGAAATCACATAATACAGCTTCAATAATCAGCTGTTGCTTTTGGGAGCATTAGATCATCAACTATATTCTATTACATTGATAGAGGAGAAGGAAGTCATTACCCGATGGTCTGTTGCTTTGAGTTTGGGCAAGAGCCGGTCCAACATCTCCAGCTTCCCACACAGTCTTATTATTGGGGGCAGAAAATGCTCAGGAATTAAGCTATTGACCTAGAGAAAGTGATTCACGCAGGCCCTTTATCAGACTTTCCTTAGCACCCCCAACCTGCAATTCTTTGCATTTATGTAAATAATTTCCGAGAGAACAAATATATTACCTCCTCTGTATGTAGTTGGCTGAGATATGGATGATTGCAAATATTCCGTAGCTCCATTACTGAGTTGTGCACAGCACGAGACTGTAGAAGAAAAAAATTGACTAAGAGATAGCTCAACATTATCACAAAACTGACAAAATGCCAAGCACAGAACAGCACCTTCACGTTTCCAATAGAGCCCAGATTATCCTCAACCCTCTTCATCAACAGCTTCTGATATGCAGAAGCCTCACATCGTATGAGTCTCTCTATCTTTTCAGGAAGTTCATTCTCAACCTACCAAAATAAATTAGCTGATACAATTAGAATCAATTTTTTTAAGAACTTGAATGCATAAATTTTATGGCAATATCCTTCCACATCACTAACATAATGAAGCAGGTGCTAGAACGACAAGGATGCAGTCTAAAAGAAGGAAAGGATCAATGTTGCATGAAAGATTATTGTATAGGGATTTAATATGTTATCAACCTTATGTTTCAGCCGCCGCAACACAAATGGTCGAAGAACCTGGTGAAGGCGATTGATTATCAGCAGATTCTCCTCTTCTGATAGCAACGCCTAGTCAGATGGCAACCATAGCATTTAGTTAAAACTGCAATGTCTTAAGATTAGTATACTGGTTGTTCTCTGACTACAAGACAGTCAATGCTACCTCTTCAGCAGAATTATCTCCATTGCTTTGAAATGGTTTGTTGAACCACTGTGAAAAGTCTTCTGACGAGTTGAATATATTAGGCAACAAAAAATTAAGCAGAGCCCACAATTCTTCCAGGTTGTTCTATAAGAGAGAAAATACCGAGATGATGAGCAATGTCAGAAGCAGAATATAGCAACAAAAAAAATAGTGAAAGCAAGAGTATTTCTCAAAAATCAAAATGAGAAGAAGGAATAAAAAATGTACCTGCAACGGCGTCCCGGTTAAGAGGAGTCGGTGGGAGCTAATGTAGTGTTTCAAGTCTGCATTTAGCTTGCAAGACGCATTCTTTATGCGATGTCCTTCGTCAATAATAATGTAATGCCAGTGGACCTTACTTAATTTAGGCCTATCATGCTTGTTCATTAAATATTCATATGTTGTCAGAAGGACATTGAACTTCTGATGAACAATTTGCTCCCTGTAATTAAAAATGAAAATGGTGAACCTTAATATCTGAGTAAAATAAGAAAAAAAGAAAAAGAACTTTTCCCCTCAGTACTTGAATAGCTTGCGTCTCTCCTCTGGAGGGCCGCAATAAACAATTTTCTGAATTGTCGGTGCCCAGAAGTTAATTTCTGACACCCAGCCAGGCAGAACCGAGGATGGCACAACAACTAAGAAGGGACCTCTGTCATTTTTTGTCTCCATCAGATAGCAAATCAACGAAATAACCTGGAAAAAAAATTATAACATGCATTTTATAACCAATTAAAAAAATTTGATGAGAATATGTGCGAGCTGGGGCTCCATTTAGTACCTGAACAGTTTTCCCGAGACCCATCTCATCAGCTAGAATGCCATTCAAATGATTGTTGTACAAGGAAACAAGCCACCTTAGCCCATTCATTTGGTACCTAAGAAGTCAAATTTTGTAGTTGTAAACACTCCACGACATACTCTTGCAAAAAACTAGGAGGTCAATTTACAGTTACAGAAGCCAGAAGGCAGGTACGATCCACTTACTCTCTTAATTTCCCACCCTTTAGGCAAACTGGCTGATCGCTAATATTTTCTTTTATACTGCAAAGTCAATTTCTAGTAAGTCGAGGAAAGGGGAAAGATACCCAAATAAAACCCTATTTTACAAACAACATAACCCTTTTCGGATAAAAAGTGAAGGCAACAAATGACAATTCAGATAGGAATCAGAAAACTATTAAACGAGAAGGTCCTTTAGGATGATGTTTGAACAGTGATTATAGGAAGCAGCAACATTACCTGTGAGCCATCAAATAGTATTTTTCATTGCTTTCCAGGTAGTGCTGTGTAGCATAAAGATTGTAACCACATCAGAAACAGATGGAAGAACGCACAAAGAAAATAATATCTTGGGAAAGATGACTTGCCTTTGCCTGGTCACTCTCATCTTCGTTTTCAACCGAAGTTTCATCCTCAACGGCGGCTGACGTGTGTGTCTCATCTGCCTCATTCTCAAATCGACTGGCCAAAGATTTTGCCTCCTTCAACTTAGATCCAAGTTTCTGAAGGTACTTCTCTGTCTCTTTGAGAAGTTGCTTTACTCGATCTGACTTGGCATCCTATATATTCACCAATTACCAAATTACACAGCATAGAAGAAACAATTTAACCATTAAACATTGAAAATCAATTCAGAGACCAAACCTGCACCATACGTAGATAACCCTCCACATCATTAATCTTCAACAAATTAATCTTCTCCCTTTGAATTTTGTCAATCTTTTCGCGATGAAAGCGTTCCTTTCTTTTGTGGAACTCCTTCACATATCTATTAAAACCCTTCCACCTCTCTCTCCTACTTTTGAATAAATCATCTAGCCTTTCCCTAAAGCAAGGTTTCAATCAAATCTCAGTCTAAAACAGTTAAAACTTAAATATACTAATGTTCTATTAGGCTTACAAAAGGGGCAAGCAGAAGTATGGGATAAGAGAAAAATGAATTAGGATAGAATACTAATTACACATACTTGTGAACTTCTATCTCCCCAAAGAACTCCTTCTGCCTCTCACGAATTCTCCTCTGTCGCTCTTCCTTCATTTTCTGCTCATACTTCTCAAGCTGCTTAATTCTCCGACCATGCTTATGTTTCTTATATGACTTTAGATTCTCAACATCAGTAGCAATAGGCTTGAAGAAGTTGTAAAGAAACTCACTGCTTCAACAAATCGACAAAGCACTAGTAGCTGAGAGACCATACGACAGATTGAACATATATATGTACATACAGATAACAATATGTTTGCATTCTCTGTAGTACAGCAATAACAGATAGCTCGTAGTATCGAATGAGAAATAAAGTTACCTCCTCAAGCGCCGTTGAAGATTCAACAGCTGAAGCTTTTTCAGTTCTATAACACTCTTGGTCTTTGCAGATATATCCTCCGACAAGCTAACAGATTCCTGTAGATCAAGAGACGTAATTTAGTATAATCTGAATTTACATAATTAACAGAGAGAACCTTAAGTATGGACACAAGCACAGCTAGTTTACTTCAAATGTGAAGGCTGTTTCGATAAAATTACCGTAAGGTCAAAACAAATAAATGTGAAAGAGAGGAGCAAAAGCTCACACACGCAAAACAGCTTTAGGTGTTCTACAAACTAAATCAGATTACCACATTATCTCCATTAAAAGTGCATCTTGGGGTCAGTATAAAGGTCCCGGTGCGTAAAGCCAAGAATTTACCCAATCACAATACCATGCCTATCTATATCTGGAAATAGATATTTAAGTATGATTATTGATCTGTTGCATTTACAATAAAAGGATACAGAAACCACCAGCAACAGCAAACATAATGCATATAGTTGTACACCGGAAAAATTAATCACTAGATAGAAAAAAGAGGAGCTGTTTAAAGAAAAAGTAAGACAAAAGAAAAGGCAAGAGAGAGACCTTCAACTCATTGAACCGTGCACATATTGCCTGGTCTGCTTTCTGCTGTTTAAGACCCCAACTCCGATCAGCCATAACTCTCTTATTCTGTCGATCCATAATCCATTTCTGTGACATGGTGAACTTGGGCGATGGTTGCATGTTACCTTCCTCTTGATCTGCAAGGTACCATACATCCATGTCTTAAAAGTTTTCATCCACAAATAATTCAAAGTTCTCCACTCAAAAGATAGGCCTATCGTCAACAATTTGCTCATCTAAGGTAACCCACTAACCTGAAGCATATAATTCGTCGAGCTGAATAGCGGAAGTTGAGACATCATTACGGTTAATAATTCCGGCCCACCCCACCATTTCGGACGGTGAGTGTTTGGTTAGACCACCTGAAGAAGAACCCAGCTCAGAGTGATTACCAGAAGTCTGATTTTGCACATGAGAGTCTGGAACTTTAGATGCCAGAAGAAGCTTTTGTCCATCGGAAAATACAGTATTTGAGAATTTTTCTTCTAATCGTGGTATCTCTGTTTCTTTTGATGAAAAGTCCATTTCAGCCAATCTTCCAGTGGGATTATCCATTCTTGCTGATGGAGCCAAGACTTCGTGAATGCTACCCGATTCACTAAGAGAATGTGTTCTTCCTTTCTGATCAAACAGTTCTCTGCGGAAACCATCTGTATTGCAGAACCATTACAATCCAAGGGAAAGCAAATAAATTTGGCTAAGCAAATAACCTAATGGAAAGTAAGAAATTACCATCTTTGGGGAAAATATTTCCAAGGGCGATATCGATGTGCAGTTTCTTTGGCATCAAACCATTTCTAAAAGAAGGAAATCAGCCAGAGCTTTTCAGAATAACAATTGCACCATATTGATTAAACAAGAGGTTAGGAGACTGTAAAATTACCTGAGAGCTAAGAACACAAGACACTGGGCTCTGAGCTGCTTCAATTGTTGCTCTTTAAATAGCGGACCTGAAGGCAATGAATCATCTGCTGCGACAGATTTTCCAGTATCTCTAAGAGCAGGAGGCCTGATTGCTGTGACTTCACTGTTTTGCCAGCCACTCTGCCATAAAAATGAACATGCCGCATCAAGAGAGCTTTATTCCAACTAGGCTACTTTGGCAGGAAGTAAAGGAAAAGGATCTTTCATAGAACTAAAGACAATTAGACTATATCCTTTTAAGATTCAAAACCTCATATAGAATGTATTGACAGAGATGCGATTTCTTGGAAAAAATTACCAAAGGAAATTCAAGCATATTCGTCATATTTAAAATGAATAAGAAACAGATCAAATACTTATAAAGAGAGACAACTGCTTCGGCAAATAAGTCATCAGGTGGCAGAACTGTGTCCCCTTACTTAAAAATTAAAATATGCTTTGTGCATCGAATAAAAGCAGCAGAAAGTCCTAACATGCAAGAAACCTCAGTCAGGAAAGCTAACCAGTATGATTTCAATAAACAAATTATTCTGAATATAGTATATAATGCAATCTGGAGGGATCCCAAAAACATTATAGTGTCAAGGTATGTACCTGGGGAGTCGTGTATGCATCTGACACTCCGACATGCAAATTCTCAATGACACCTGAGTTTTATTAGCAAAAAAGTACATGATTAATAAACTCAGTTCACATGCATGCACAAAAAAACATTATTAAAAAAAAAAAAACTAGGGCAAGCAACCCTGTGTTCTTAATTTTGAAATTATACCCAAAAAAAATTGTGTCTCTTATATTTATAAAGATTTGCTCCATTCTATAAGAAAGCATGTTGAAGCATACCTGAATTGCCAGGCATTTCCACTTTGCTTACTTTTCTAGTCTGATCATCAACTGTCCCATGACTATCAAATATTTGAGAATTATCCATATTTTGGTCCCATGAAAATGATGATTCACCCCTCTTTCTCTTTGCACTTGACTTGGCATCTCTTTGATTCAATGTCTCACTCCTATCATGAGATTGAGAATTTCCCGACTTAGAATCCAAGCTGGATGGACTCTCATGATCAAATGATCTATTACTTCGAGTTCCAGACCCTTGGTAAACTGCTTGTGATGCACTGTTTGATCCACCAAGCTGCCTACCAGAAGTGAATGCATCATATTTTGACATCTCATTTTCAACTAGACTTGCTTTGGACTCGTTGCTAACTCCAACGACTTGGGAAGAAGATCCTGTAATCCACAAGGCAGAAAATTTAACAACACAATAAGACCAGCACAAGAATTTCCACATAACAAACAAAACTCTAAACTAATCCAAAAGAGATTAAATGGATATACCTGCCAAATGTGCAGACCCAGAATCTTCCATTTGAGTACCACCAGCAGGAGGAAGTCGTGATGATTTCAAAGCTTCAATGTCAAGACCATGTTGATTGACGACAGTCTCCATGGCCCTTGAGTTTTGGAAAGAACATATCAAAAAAACGAAGTGAAAACATGAACAAGAATGAGAATTCTCAAAAGCATGAACCGCAGCTATAACTCAGAATAACTATATGCCACATTGCAAGTGAATTAGAAGTTACGACTTTTATGAAAGCTCATGTAATAAACACCAATCATAGTGATTAATCGAAACAGGTTTTGGAATTGAGAAACCCACCAAAGTTTCAAGAATAAAGACTCATGTACTAAACCAAACAACCCAATATTTGCATCGCGTTTTTAGTAAGATGTAACCCCAGTTCCTAATATCATAAGAATGTAACCACCCCCTAATCACCATAAGCAAATTTTTATTACTGAATGGCTAGTGTGGAAAGCAATACCTTGATATGACTTGATATGGCATTGAGTGCTCCTTTCCACTGGTCTTCATGTGCTGCAATATCTGAAGTAATCAAAAGAATAAATGAAGTTAGTTAAAGCACAGGGTTAAAGCTTACAATACAAATATAAGCATACACCAGGTTAAGCCACATTACCACATAAAGTTTTGTTGCTAGCTTTGCAGGTTCATCTTTCGAATCTTGAATGAGCTTGTGCAGAAACTTAGCTGCCTCCAACTCAATATTATGCGGAGATGTCATCTTAATTAAGTTACACCAGTATGAACATCATGTAAGACAACCCTGCATCACTGAGCATGCAAGTATTAATCTTACAAGTGAGAATAAGGCGAAACCTATATACACGTAACAATACAAACAAAGGTATTTTCAACCAAATGATTTGTGCAAAGGAGGACAAAAGACATGACATCTTTAAATTCAGGGACTCATACCAAAAGATTAAAAAATTAGCTCCCTTTCCCATATGATTCTCGCTTATACAGTAGATGCAGACTTAAAACATAAGAAGATTGCAAGTAAACCCAGAGGAGCAAGAATTACAAACATCCTGGTCTCTCTGGCAACATCTGACTCTATTTCAGCGTCCAGAAACAAAATTGGAGGAAATACCAAAAAAAAAAGACATTTTAGTGACCGAGAGAACTCAAATGATAGAAATCGACAAAATTTAGCTCGAAATGGCCTTAAGCAAAGCTGTGCTCACACCTTTGCTTCGTAATTAAGCTAACGGAGCGAAATTACCCCCGGAAAAGGAGAAAAGGCGAAGACTTTCTCAAATCAAACGAGACTTGATGCAACCCAAATCGCAACAAAACCCTAAATAGCGATCAAGCAGCTAAGAGGAAGAAATGAGAGCTTTACCCAGATGAAAGATCTGCCTGTCGGAGAGAAAGCAGGAGTAAATTTCAGGGGAGAGCGTTGAGCTGAACAGTGAATCCGTAGCCGAAATGGCGTCGTCGCTTTGGCTTTGAAGGACCAAGGAAACGCAGACTCACAGTTCCTACTTTTTTTTTTTTTGCAAGGGCTCAGGACTCCTACTAGTATTTGACAAATACTAAAAAGCCTTCTAGGAGGCTTAGGCGGTAGGCCGCTTAGACCGTGGGGATTACCGTTTTTGCCGTCTAAAATATTATAGTATTATTATAATAAAATACTAGAATTTTTTTTATATATAAATCATAAAATTTTATATATTTAACTATTAAATGATGAATATAAATACAATATAAATTTTATCAGTTATAAATTATAGTTTTTTTATATATTTTATTATATATATTTAATATATTATGTATTTTTGTAAAACGCTTAAACCGTCTATTACATCACTTAGACTCCGATTAGACGTTCTAGGCACTAGGCATTGGATCACCGCCCGCTTAGCGCCTAGCGCTTTCTTGAACATTGGTATTTGTAGACTTTTTTATAAAGTTATAAATCAGAGAATTGAAAAAATATATCCCACCAAGCTATCCCCAACGTTTCTAAAAAGTTCTTACCATATACAATAATTTTGTCAAGTTAATAAATTTCTATTAAATAGTATAATATTGCAACTTTTAGAAACAAATATTTTAAAGTTTAAGATGAGCGAAATTATATTTTGTTTGAGTTAAATATTATTTTCTATATTAAACAAATCATTAGTTTAGGCGAAATCATTTACAGTTTTGTTATTTAGTAGTATATTATAAGGTCTAAATAACTAGAATTGTAAAATATATTCTCTAAATTTTTATTCTTTTTGTTTTATATGTTATTTATCGTTCAAGAGTTAAGATTTG